GACATAGGGATGTCTCTAAGCATAGAACTGGAGCCTTGTAGGCAATGGTTTTTTGACAACAAATTATCTTTACATTTGGGTAAAACTGAGTCTATTCTGTTTGGGTCTAAGGGCAAATTGAAGAAAGCAGATTCATTTGCAGTAAAGTGCAGTGGAGAAATGGTTAAATCATCTTTACCTGTTAAATATCTAGGAGTTATTCTAGACCCTGTTTTATCTGGTGAATGCACTGCTACTTCAATTATTAAAAAAGCTGGGGAAAGACTTAAGTTTCTTTACAGACAGGCTAATTTTCCCAATGAAAAACCACGTAAAATTTTGTTCTGCATTGATTCAATGTTACTTTGATTACTCATGTTCATCATGGTATTCTGCATTATCCATAAGAATGAAAAGCAAACTTCAAAATTTCAAATTGTGCAAAAGAAAATGGTTAGGTTCATAATGGACAAAAATTCAAGGGCCCATATTGGTCAGAGAGAACTCGATAGACTGGGGTTACTTAACATTCAGGATAGGGTGACTCAATTGAAACTCAATCATGTATTTAAAGTGGTTCATAACTTAGCCCCTAAATATATGTCTGACAACTTTACCTGTGTTTTTGATAGCTACTCTTATAATACATGGCAAAGTCTTCTTAACTTCATTGTTCAAACTCACTCCAGAAGAAATACAGTTTTTGTTACAGCTATTAAAGACTGGAATGCACTGCCGTCTAACATCAAAAGCATCTCCAGTCTTCCCATATTTAAAAAACAGGTAAAGTCACATCTATCATAAAAAGGCAGTTAATAGAGAAATGTAGTGTTTATAATTAATAGTACAGATTTTAAATGGGGAGGGTTAAGTGACTTCGTTATAATGTTTTTTGTATTTGATTGTCCCGATTTTTAAATAATATGCAGTCTTGAAAATGATTGTAATTAGTAATGGGTAAATGGACTGATAGTTTACTGTTTTTCATGTTTTGTTTGTTCTGTATATGTGTCATTTTGTAAATTTGTCCATATATGTACTTAAGGGACCCCAATGGAAATAAGCCTGTGTAATTGGCTTTCTTGGGTTATCCCAGAATGAATCAACTGTATCTTGTTTTCTCTGTGTACGACTGTTGCTCAGTTGATTGATTTCTGAATAAAATAATAATATTAATAATACTGTCCATGATAAGTGCTGAACCAGCAGCCAGGTGTTGAAAGGCTTCAGTCTGTTTTGACTGCAGCCATTCTTTCCTCAGCATTTTGCATACCACAAAAACTGGCCAGGCCAGTGATTTTGCACACAACGTACAGTGTGCATGTACGTGAGAAATAATCAGGGTTGATCCGATCGACCATACCGATGTCGTGTATGTACAGTTCGGATTGCGCATGGCACGAAGCACTAAACTGCAAACACTACATTGTGGTGCAAGTTAAAATACTGCCATAACCATACAATTGTCCCGTGTGCAGGAAAAAACATGGAGCTCTCGATATACCGATAACGCGTACACATTGATGAACACTTGTTCTAGACTGACATTATTGCATGGTACATCAAAATGCTTAGCTGAGGCATACGCTATTATGTTATGTCATTGGATAGGCTGGCGGGTGTTGCCTGTGATGTGCTTTGCTTGCGATCGTGCAGTATGCATGGAGTGGGCTGGGCTGCCGGTGCACGACGGGCTGAGTGTACGATATTCCCACATACACACAGTGCAGTCACGCCCTGCTTTATGCGTGCATGCCATGCATTTTTGTGGCGTGGCGCGGTGTTCCGGTCGAATGTGAGCAATCAAGGAACGATGGGTATGCTGCTTTCCATGCCGCTTTCCGTGTACCTCGCTGAACAGGGGCAGTCGATATGCATATGTAGGGCACTACGGCCAAGAGAAAAAAAGGACGCTGCCATCTTGGCGGTGAAACACGATCACCTTTCATGCCTTTCGGAGGCACCATGGCCAAATGGGAGGGCACCGACGGCCATGGCCGTCATGAAATTTGAGGCCTGCGAATGGTTTATCCAAAAAAAAAGGGTCATCAGGGCCAGTTGGTGCATGTGCGACTGAAATACCAAATTGGCTTATACCCTCAAGACTACATACCATAAATCATGACCACGTACCACGTCCTATGACTAACTAGTTAACATCATGATCAGGATCCCTGGCATGCAACAAGTCACGCACATTAACTCACCATCTTCCACAAATAAATCATCGCCGTAGTCTGGAGTCACTTCGTCCATTTCCGCCTCAGAACAAACAGTAGTTGCTCCAGTTCCCGCGAACTAGATGAGAGAGTAAGTTTCACAGCGAAAGGTTACTGCAAATGCAATCTTGGAAGTGGGAATGCTGTAATGGAGCCTCCATGCAATAATGTAAGCTGTACATGTCCGCTGAATTATGAAAAGTGCACTTCGCTCAATTTTTGCACAAACTTTTCTCGTGTACATCAGTTCATGACCAAGTGAAAAAGAAATAAGGCACACATACCGTCAATTATGGTCACACTACAAGCATTTAGGACCGCGTTTTCATGGGGTACCCGCATAAAATGAGACAAAATTTCTAGCCAGTCATTCGCTGCTTTACGTCTTTTACGTGTCTCACGCATCGCGCATGTACTGTATGTACAATGTATGTAGTGCGTGCAAGATTACCATGTTGTGCGCCACCAACGACAGTGCTAATACTGAATAGTGAAATAATGAAATGAATGACTTGTTTAAACTCTAAGTTCGACTATCTAATCCCTGATTTTCAGGAACTCTAGATTGGTGAATATTCGCCGCGCTATACGATCTTTGGTGAATATTGATTCAGAGTTCACCTCATTATTGCGTCGAGCCCACCACGGCAGATCCAACCTTGGGCTAGATCATGGAATTATAAGCTGGAAGGTGTCTTGCCTTTAGCTTACTCACGCCACTTGAACAAGTCCTTTGCTTTTTCGGCTTACCCAAATGAGCATGCAAAAACAAAAAACAAAACAAAATAAAACAGAGAGCGATGCGTGGTTAGACAACATTCACAAATCTCATGTTCATTGAGAACCCCGAAGAGTCATGTAATACAATTAATTCAACCTTTGAGATATGTGTTTTGTTTAACTGTACCTTGGAGCTTTTGGGTTTTTATGCTGATTTATGCATATTCATGAGCAAAACTACGTTGTCTCCCCAAGCAATGAACCTCACTGAGGACATATCAATAAAACATTGCTCAACAGGAAAAGTTAGATTTAACCTCAGTGTTGTATTCAAGTTGATTTGTGCACACAACAGCTTGAATTTTTATATTTTGATGGAGAAAAATTCCATTGCTTTAACAAAATTGCATATGTGTGTAAGTACAGAGCAATGAGCCGCGCCACTGAGCAACCCTTTCTCAGATATGTTTACTAAGAGCCAAACTGGGGTTCAAAATTTGAACATAAAAAAATGTTTACATTACTACAATAGCGCCCTCAATTGTCTGTAAAAGAAGAATATAAGGACCGGGGGGCAAATCCTAGTATTTTCATTGTTTTTTCCAAATTTTCATGGGAAGGAGCGCGAGGAGGGCGATTTTTATGGGCAGTGCACCGCACTATAGCAAGCCCCCTCCTGACTACACTGCTTTGGTGTACTGTACATAGGCTATAGACTCAGCAAACTAAAAAGTTCGAAAGGAGAACAAGGTGCAGATCGAAGTTCCATTTTTGTGATTAAAAAAAGAAACGTTTCGCAACATTACGAGTACCGAAGTGACTACGTCATGAGCACAAGAGCATGGAGGAAGGAAAACCGTGAGGGCGAGAATCAGCGCTTGGACCAACATATCACAGACGTA